GAAGTAACAGCTAAGCAATACCATTGAAAGGGATCCGGTTTTAAAATTGAACACACGGTGGTAGATACAGTGGAAATTGCCAAGGCATTGGGCGGACAAAAGCAATTTGAAACACGCACACCTGTTTCAGGACACGAGATGGTACGTTGAACCGAAAAGCTGTTTGTATGTATGGGGTCTCAAACTGGTCAGTCAGGGCTTTTATCGTAGTGTATAAAACGCATCGTTGTACATCAGCAATTAGCGTATCTACCTACGGGTTCGAGTGAGGAAAAGCCGAAAATATTCCCCAATTAAAGATGTGCCTAAAGGGTGGAAATGTTGGCTGCGCTTTGCAATGGACGTAGGAACAGTATGCGGGAATAAGAGGGCACCCTTGAAGGTGACAGACTATTCGAGGCAATTCCGTCGGTCGAGAATCACTAAACTCCGAGTGATTTTGTTCATTTGCATGCGCAGCTCAATATAACACCTGATAACACTGTCTCATGACTGTCTTCGGAAGCTTAGATTAAAAGCAAGTCGAACAAGAATCGAAAATCCCTGTCAGATTTGAATTGGTTTCCGCACTAAGTGTTGAGAACAAGTTATCCCGTGCCTGATTCATATCAAGTGGGTAGTGGTTAATTCCTTTTTGGTTTAAAAACGTCCCCCCAAATGTGACGAACAATGGGAAGGAAACAAAACCAGAACAAGAGGTTTGTGTCAATGTGGAGGGAGGGGAAGGCTTCAAGTTGTAACAGATTTGTGCTGAAGCACTGCTCCGATGTGCCCACATCGAAGAATAAAAACGCAAATGAGGCGCTTCCCACTTCTTAGTTTAAGACAATCACATATTACGTACGAACTTTTTTAGACGAATTATTTGATAATTGTGTCCTTTTTTGTCCTTCAGGATCTACAACGGGGCAGGCAACTGTGACCCACAGTATCCCAACAGTGATCTCTAGTGAGTAACAAACACCATGTGTGTGCTGTCATACAAATCTTTCCACGTATACACTGAGGCTGCATGCAGTTTGCTTTTGACGCTGCACATTTGAAAAGTCTGATTTGAATTAGCACGTACAACACAATAGATAAAATCTATCTTTGTTAAGCTTTTACTTCACCTCTAAACTATCGGTGCACATTGTTGTGGCAAACGTTTTCATAACTGTCGTATCCAAATACCTCGGATCCAATCATTTCGCATCTGGGAGAATGCAAAAGTCGCTAAAACTTTCTTGAAATCATCTCTTTTCCGGGGGGTTGGGCAGTACATACTATTGAACCGGAAATCGCTCTGGGATAACTTGGTTGAGACTTTGAGCGTTCACAGTAACAGTAACAGTTTATCCTTCCCCTACGCTCTGTGAGCGAATATACATGTGCTAAACATATTTCTGTAGCAGATAATACACTGGAGAGCAAGCATGACGAATTCGGTTGGATGAACAGAATCCTAAAACTTATGAATAGAAAAACTGTGGTTCGTTATCGAAAACGAGGATTTCTGGCCGATTGAGCTGGGCAAATAACTTACTCAACAAGCTAATAAAGATGGGCTGTGCTATATCGTGTAAATGGTAAATGAAAAACGGTGGCCGACTGAGTAGCGTGCTTGTGTTCTACCTTTGAGTCCCCGGGTTCGATCCCCAGTTAAGGCAGTGGACTCGCGCACTGTACGGATGACAATCAGGTCGAAACATCTGCCCAGTAGTTCCCAGATTTCTAGCTCACGGTTAATTTGCTCTCTACACGACGAGCTCTCATGGACTTATTCCACTTTTTCATCACAGTGATTGTGGCTATTGGAACAAACTTAGGCCGTTTGGCATATGCATCGACAATAAACAGGTAATACATATCTTATGGGTTGGGGGCCAGTGAAATCAATGTGAGACCTAGCTTCAAGTGGTAGTTTGGCTGTCACTAAATATTTGTGACCAATTGTAATCACGTGATCAATTTCATACCCGGTCAATATGTATAACCTTGACCAATTGCTTGAATATGACCGACACAGTTTATCTTCACGGATAATACTCAGCTCATTTAGTGATATATATATATATATACCTGAAAAGTGGTAAGTTCGAATTTCGCTCTTACCAAAGCTCATCAGTCGTACACATGGACGGATACATACAGGAATTCAACCCACGTGTGCCCCATTTTACCACTCAGTTGACATCTGCTCAGACCCGGCAGATTCGAGTAGAAGAACCAAAACCCACCGCTCTTACGTTTCATCAACAACACTGAATCGCACTAGCACTTATACGCTGAAATTTTCTGTCACCAAAACGCAGAAAAAAGGCCACGGAAGTAGGAGTTCGTTTATGGAAAGCAATCAATGGAATTATTTAATATGCAAATAGAAATATGATTGGTCCAATGAATATCGGCTAATCATCCTCCTTGTTCTTTGAGTCACAAGGCTTCTGTTTAAAATATGTGGCAGTTGATTGACTAGCACTTGGTCCGTAGCCCATAGTCCGGAACTGGAACGCGTAAGCGCTTGACTGGGGTCATGTCCGATGGTTGAGTCATCACAGATAGGAATATAAGTTCCATCAATGTTCGTGATTGAGGCTTGCCCTCCAGCCCATAGTCGTTAAAAAATGATATAAAACGTGTCGCCTTGAAGCCTTGAAGCTTCGGAAATTCAGAAACTACATGCTAAAGTTCCTAAACTAAATTTTTTTAATGTAGGGTTCGTTAAAATGGTTGGGTGCTTTAAATTGGTGGTTCATAGTCCGTTTATTTCCGTGTTGGGTTTTATTCAACGGTATACCAATCGCCTGTGGTTGCATTTATTTACCGAGTATTATTTTTTTTGCGGGGGGGGGGCGGGAGTGTGTCATTTGCAAGAAAAGGTACATAGAAAGCGACCAAGTGCCCATGGGACCCACCATTGGACGTAATTCAGATGAATAACTGTAAGACACTCAAGAACAGTCATAATAGTTTCATCAGATCAGCACTGGGAAACAATGATAATTGACATAATAATATATTTTTCTCATCGAATCTTTTCAGTTACGGTGTGGCACTGGTACCAGACGGTGCTGACACTGGCTACATCAAATGTCGATTAGGTGGTACCACAATTGGATACCAGAATATCACGTTCCTTGTTGAAACCCCGTATGGAAAGTGAGTCAGTCTGCCTGTAACTGTTTCCTTCTATTTCCTGGTGAAACGTTTTGCTGTAACGTTATCTCTTCCAGGTGATTGACTTTCACAACCAATAACTACATTTGCTAGATCTGAAAATTAGCCTGTTGTTCCTTCTGTCTCAAATCCCGTCAAATCTATCTTCCTGTATACCACCCAGTGAATATATCATTAGCTAATTGGTTTTTAATAACCCTCATATATATTCCTTCTCATGCATTTTAAAGCTCGGCTTTAGAAATTGAAAATATTGTGTAACGAAAGAACCAGAAATAGGTTGCCGAAGAAATATTGTTTTCGATAATTTTTTCCTCGTGCTAATGCAGTTCAATATAGGGTTCACAATTTGCAAAAACTAGTGTAAAGATATGAAATGATGAACGTGATTGGTTGATTGTGATTTTGTAATATGTGGTTTGGAAATGGGAGGGCTGAACTGGTAGGGATTGAACTAGCTGTTTCCCTGAGACATATCAAAGGTCACAATCGTCTCGGTCGAATGTGTCAGGTTGATGCCCAGGTAAGCGAAGTGACTGAATGAATCGCGTTTGAGAACAAAGATATGGATTGAATGAGCCTCAACCTGACACAGCCGACCGGAACATGGGTACAGATCCCGGAATTGGAACAGCTCACTCGTTTCATCGACAGTGGTCATTTCCACACCACAAAACAACTAAAGACAGACTCTGTCTGCTATTTCCAAACCACATATCACAAAATCACAATCAACCAATCATATTCATCAAATCAGACCATTACGCTAGTTTACCAATTTTGGAACCAAGTATATATAGAACTGTATTAGCCCGATGAGGAAGTTATCGAAAACAAGCCTTGTTCGCTACATTGTTTTCATATTGTCACGATGAGAATATTTAATGAAATTGATTGGCGATTGTAACTATGCCTCCACAGGTTTTGAAAGAAACTACTAAGTTGAAGTAAATCCAGTGGAGCACGAAAAAAAATATGTCTAGCTAACAAATTTCACCGATATAAATATATATATATATGCTTGTTCTCATTCGAGTTGTGTGGATAAACAAAGAGGTTTTTCCTTGTTCTTTTATCTAAATCACACATGTGTGACTCACTCAACAGACTCCGCTTCCTTTTGGACGTGGATGATGTGTTTTATTGTTGTAGAAACGTTAAACTTTGGGTTCCCTTCGTCCAACTAGTTAGAACCGAGAGAAGACAAACACAGCGAGGTGGTAACATTTGTTTTAATCTCCTCAGTCGCTATAGAACATAGAACAATCTGGTTTTTGTACAAATTTTGATAAATACAGTGGTTCAGCGGACAATAGTCAGGAGAGCGCGGTTGCAGTGGGAATCACTAGTTCCATATCAGTAAACCGGATTATGTGGGAAATTTTGGTGAGCACAATATTGGATAACGTAACTTGATTAGCATTGCCTCGCTAAACACCAAGAGCCTGGCGTTCATGTTACATAATATGGCTATATGAATGAAGTCAGTGGTTTCCGAGTGACTGGTGTGAATAAATTAATGCAACGTGCAGGACGTAGATCTCAGCTGGTAACCATGTGTAAAACATGCTGCGAGGTTGATTCTGGGTCACACATGATCCGATATTCTGGTGCCAAAACCGTTGCCATTCACATCAGTAAACGAACCCTCTTTCTCATTGTCACAATGACCGTATTATTACTGCATAACCACAAACGCTCGGACAGTAGGTTCTTCTTGACGGGATGGGGAGAGGGAAATTTAGGGGCAGGCTAAAAACATATGGGAAAAGTGCAATCAATAATGAGTCAAACGGATTGTCAGATATGCCGACGCCCCCTTAATTGACCCAAGATATAGGTGATGTATTCAACATGCTTAACTGTACGCTGGTAAAATTTTAAGCAGCTCTCACTTTCTCCTGCTTCGTGTCACAATACATTTGATTAAACATGTCACATCACTAATAGGAAGACGACGGGAATGTGATTTCGGTGATCCCATTTAACAACCATATCTAACATCACATTCCTATCCGTCTTTCTGTGTAACAGAAGCGTGACCGACAAGACTGTTTACCGGGTGGGGCGGAACGATCAACCGTACATGTTTCAAACCTATACCGGTAAGTGAACTGAAAGTGTAATTTATTATTTGTGTGGAATTTACAACGAAAACCAACTGTTCACTCAAGTTAACAATATTTCCTTGCGTTGATAAAAAACATTGAGAGCCAATCGATGGTAACATTTACACGAGTAAAAATCGCGCTGTTCCGGATCTACCAGTTGGTTGACATTCGTCTGCATATCACCGTATACCATTGATCAATAGAACATGGTCATCAGACTGATACTGGTAACGTTTAAATTCGACGGAAATGTTTGTGATGACTTACAAAGAGCACCGGGACAGCTGTTTCGTCCCATTTGGGTCTCTAGCAATGCATATTTCTTGTGTTCCTGTTAGAAAAAACCTTCAGGTTGAGACTTTAAACCCTTACCCTCGAGCTACATGGTCGACGGTCACCGCCTTGTACGAATGGTCCACAAAGGAATAAAACCCTACATCGGAGAACATCAAGTGTCCGGTGTCTGTGAAAAACCGAATGGGCTGAATCAAACATTCATAATCTGCACTAGAAACCTATTGGTTTATGTTGTCTTTGGTGNCTTTGCAGACGTTTCTCAGCCAGACTAGGAAACATCTTCAGTGCTAATTCGGGGAAGCGCTGGTCCGCCGTGTGACCGCGCTTCTGCAAAGTTGCACTGATGGTGTTGCCTAGCCTGACGACGAAACGTCTGCAAACAACACTTCCAGCTCGGAGAACACACCAACAACAACAACATTCAAATCCTGTTTTCACATTGTTTCCAACCTATTCGTTTACTGTAAAACTTAAATCCCACGTTGTGCTGTTCTGTTTTGCATGGAAGTAATTTTCAAATGAGTTTGGTATTAATTAGGAAAAGTGCAATCATTTTAAGTGCATTGAATGAAAATAAAACGTCACGGAAATAGGTCCGTATGAACTGGGTACTTGGACAGGGTGTCAGATCCGTATGTGCATAACCGAACCGGACAATATGGGGGGAATGAACAGTGTTTCTTTTTGTCTGAACTAATGCTCCTAATTGTTCAAATCAAGGAATACGAATCTGATGAGACTCTTGAAAACTGTTTGCCTTCGTTTACTCCATAGAAAACAGCTCACAATGTCTCTGTGTGTGTGACAACGCGAGGCAAGCGGGAACGCTGTTCGAATTTGGGGATATGATGCCTGTGACCTGATCGCAATACTCGCAGATCACCTCCAGGGCCGATAGACAAACTAAAGGGGACTTTCGGGACCGAACTAAGTTGGAAAACTAGTACAGTAATTTGCAGTTTGTCACTTCACACAGCTAGTGTTCTGTGTACAACAAATTTTATTTGAAAAAAGTAATTTTACCAAACTTCACTGGTTTTGTGCAAATCTGTCATTTCTCATCAGATTTACATCCATCCAGTAGTCAGACTGTATTAAAGTAATAGGTGAAAATCTTTTCGGAATTCGTTAACAAGGAACTAAGTTATCAGTCTGTGGCCTCGTGTGGCCTCGGTGTGGTCTGATAGCTCAGCTGGTAGAGCATACGCGTACAAAGCATAGGCGGCGTCCACGCGTGGGTTCAAATCCCACTGAGGCTACTGAACTTTTCACGATCGACATACAAACTTCAAATCTGCCAAAAAAAAACAATTTGAAGAGTTAACCTTGTCTTAGAAGCTCATTCGGTGGACTCCCGTGAATTCTAAGGAAAACCTGTTGAGGCAATCAGCTTACATGCTAACTGAAGGATGTCACATGCCTCTGTAAGTTGGATGGGTAAATTCGAGTGTGAAAAGATCATTGCTATCGGTATGGTCTCGTAGCTCAGCTGGTAGATCATACGCGTACAAAGCGTAGGCGGCGTCCACGCGTGGGTTCAAATCCCACTGAGGCTACTGACTTTTCACAATCAACATATAAATTATCAAATGCTGACAGTTTTGGCTTGAGTAACTCACAGACACCTTGTCCTATCAAAAACCTTCAACCTTAATGCGTTCTCAGGGTCTGAATCAAACTGGTTTAGGACTTGCAGCTTAAAGGTTTCCTGTAATCCCGGAGAAGTATAGAACATTAAAACTGAGCTGTGTTTTTCTACACCCATGAGCAACGAACATTTAAGTTCACTCAGAGTTAATTGATTGATTTGAACTGATTATCCTTTAGGCTTTACTGCTTCACCCTGGTACCCTTCATTTCTGTCGGATCAAATGAACTCACTGAAAATTGAATAGGCATGAGTCAGAAATTCGGTTCAGCCATGGTTTGAGCTGATTGACACAGTGGTAACACACACGCCTTCCTTGGGTTTTGGGTCCAAATCCCCAACGGGACGGTGGATATGAACTACTGGTCAGCTCTAATAAGAGTGAGACTCGAGTCTGTGGTGCTTCCGGAGTGTATGGTTTACGGGATGAAATGAGGATTGTGAGAAAAGGTGAAGTTTGAAAGGTAGACAGCTCAAATCAATATCGATGATCTGGCAACACCACTCATAAATAACTGTAATTTAAATGCGAATTAACTGATTATTTAAAAATTCAAAAGAGGTACTGCTTGACAAAGTGCATTTGAGCCCATCTGGCTGTGAGTTTCAGCATATTCTCGGATCAGTGATATGGGACTTGATGAGATTCTTGTTGATTCCGTACAATAATACGTTTCCGTTACCCACTCTTCCCTCCATAACACCCACCCACCCGTGCCCCGATCTTCTACCTCTTTAGCTATCACTTCAGTCAGTCCCACAGCAAGTGGCAATTTGGGTGGAGGAATAATCACCATTGAGGGGAAATATTTTCAACAGGCTATTCCTCCAAAAGTGTTCTATGGTACAGAGGAGTGTTCCGTTTTGGATGTGGATGATACGCGAATTCGGTGTCAACTACCTTTTATGGTTGACAAGACCAGGGCCCGTGTATATGCAGGTGAGTTCAAGGCCGGTTTTGAGGTGCCTTCGGGGATTTTGGGTGTGGCCAATACCAACTGCGATTATATATATATATATATATATATATATATATATAAACAC